ATATAAGCACAAACTTTCTATAAGCACCAAATTCTTAAAACCAAGGGTGTGATTATAGAGAGGTTTGACTGTATATCATTATAGCAACCTTTATTGTCTTGTGTACCTTTCCTGTTAGCGTTTCTTTAATATAACGCTCATTTTTTTCTCAATATCTGATGTATTTAAAACAAATTTTTAGCAAAAAAAGATGCCGGATTCATTAAAGAATTTTAGTGACAAGACCCAAGAAAGGCAGTGTCTCTGAGATGGATGAGATAGATGATTATATTGATCCAATGTTATTAATCGTCGAGTGGAATGATAATGGACCCAGACAGCAAAACATTAATAAAAATAACATAACTAATGGTATGTCCAAAAATAACTAATAATGTTTTGTTACATTTTTTAACCTTTTTTTTTGGATTAGTTATTCAAAGGTTTCCTGGTATTCGACCGATTTCAGATATTCTCACGACTGGTGGAGGAGTCGTTACTAGCAATCCATCTGAATCAATTTTTTGTGTTTTTGATGCTCCTCCTGCAGAGAATCAACAGATTACTGAACCATCTTAGGCAAACTTATTACCAAGCGAATCAAACTTCATTGGGAAGAATGTTTAATATAAAAGCTACAGTAAAAGGTAAATTTGAAATTACGGAGCACCGTCACGTATTTTAGCCTTTTAACCATTAAATATGTAGGTAGAAATATGGGTTGCTACAGTAAGATTTTTGCTATTATAAATAAATTCTGTGGCCAGTCAAAAATAATGAAATTCAGATTTATGTATTATGCATATATGTTAATCGAAATAAAACATGAATACTTATTAATGCTCATAAATTTTTTATTATTGTTTTTTTTTTTATTTAATATTGATTATTTGGAAATTATAACATTCACATTAGGGGTGTTACCCAAACCCGGTAGTTTGGGATTCAGTCCCAAAGGTTTTTACCAGATTTTACAAATGCATCATAACTGCTTTTTATTAAGTAAAATTTGCCTTTGCTTATAAAATCCGCTTTCCCCAAGGTGAAATTCGCAAGCACATGATTGATTAACAGTTAGATAATCTCCCTAAATATACCCCTTTCACCTTTTCTCAAACCCTCTAAATCTCTCTAAATGCACTTTTCTTATCGTTCTTTAAATGCATATTGTTACAAATTTGGCCTTTACAGGTTGCATTTAGAAATTTCCGTACTAGGGTACTAATGGCACTATATCAAGAATTACTTTCAGATCTAATGTTAGGAAAGTATTTTGCAACACTTTATTATTAATTTCACTATTATAAACAAACAAGTTTAGCGCTTGCCATGTGTAAAAGGTTTTCTTTTTATAAATCTAGCAGGTTTTTATTGTGTAACGCTTGGTGGCACTTTAACAAATCCAATATTTGGCGTCTCTGATATAACGATTCAAGATGGACGCGTGGAAGATGATAGTATGAAAGATTTCAACTTAGAACTAGCTCTTCTGATCGTGGATTTCATTTGATAGACTAGATGATACCAAAAAAAGTCTGTGAAGGAGGATTGGTTTGTATATTCAGCAACCTGGTTAGATGATAGTGAAAGGAGTATTGTGTCTCACATGTCTCACATGTAATCCTGATATAACTACTCAGTTTAATGGTATTTGAAAGGAACATGGTGTCTTACATATAATCATGATGTAACGATTCAAGATGGACAAGCGCAACAAGGAGATCTGGTTTTTAAAAGATTTCAACTTAGAACTGATTTTTATGATCGTATTATTGAGTGAATCTCATCTGATATGCTATATGATATCAAAAAAAAAAAAAACGGTGGAGGATTTAGTTCTGTATATTCAGCAACTTGGCTGGACGGTATTTGAAAGGAGCATGGTGCTCACATGTAATCCTGATATAACAATGGACAAGTGAAAGCAAGGAGTCGACGATTTTGATTCATATGATCATATTATTGAATAGATCTCATCTGACATGCTAGACAATATCAAAAAAAAAAAAAAAGAAGAGAAATTTTGCTTTGTATGTTTTGCAATTTGGTTGGACGGTATTTGAAAGGTTAATGGTGATTCTTATGTATTGTTGCGCTTAAAACCTTGTCCGGTTCTAATGAAAATCTTAATGATTTTTTAAAAGAGGTAAGTTGTTATTCTTTGTATAGTTTATTAAACACATATTGAACGCAGTATATATTGAACTCATTCATTTAACAATCATATGAAATGCATTATACGAGGCAATAATCTTAATACATGGGTCTTTGCCTTGAAAATCAAGTTATGGGACATAGTAAATCATATGTCATATATTTGATTTTCAAGACAAAGATTCCACATGTGAAGTTCTTAAAAATAAAATTTCAAAGATTGTTGACAGACTAATTAAAATTACTTTATGATATTTTAACAATGCAGAATACATTCATGCAGACTTTCATTAGCAGCTAGTGATTTGACCCGTCTAAAAAACTTTCACCCGTAGGGTGGACAATAAGTCACCCGGGTGGAAATCGGATCAACTTAAAAATGTCACCACTCGGGTCACCCTACAGGTGACCTGTCGGGTGACCCGTTGGCTCACCTATAGTTAGTATAAAATACCATCCGGTGGTAATATGACAGCTCTTTTCAAATTCTGGACACCTAATAAAAATGATTTTTGACTGAGTCGATTAATTTATTGATTTCGGCATGATTGGTTTATATTTTTAGACGTAATATTTCGAGATTAGAACTATACAGCTAAAATCAGGATAATGTCATGAAACGTCTAGTTGACCAGTTTATAGAGCTATTGGGATGATATCGGACAACATGAATCAAGACAAATCAGAATGATATTGGAGTTTTTTCCTATAGAACAAATCGGCATATAGATTATAGATGCATAAATATGATCAGTGATGTAATCTTTTTGCGTCTCAATAGGAATATATAGATCGCATGACTTTGAGGACATAATCTTGGTCTGGTAAAGAAGAGTTCGGATGTGGTTGTAGTGTCCAGACCTGCGCGATTGTATTTTTGACACAAAATGCGTAATAAATTAATCTACTTTAATGTAACTAGTGCAAATAACAATATTGATTAATATCAATATAATAAAGATTAATGCACATAATATGTTTTTTTGTTAATTACTAGATGTCAATATTATACGACTATATTAAATCAAAATTTAATCACTATTAGTATGTTTATCTTACCAATTTTTTATTTGCATTGATATTGCATACGTATCGGAATTTCTTATATTGCATAAAAATGCATTCTAGATGCGGTATATGAAAATTTACAAACTAATAAATACACGGCAAAAAAGTTCGGTTATGGTAAAACATCAGAAGAAATTGAAAATTTCGCGGGTATAGTCAAAAAAAATTATAAAAATACATATGGTATTTTTTATTGTGCGGGGGGTTTTAGTGAAAAAGCTAAAGAAAATGTCAAATCGATGGAAAGGGTTCATCTGGCAGAATCTTTAGATGAATTACGTGACACAATAAACACATTATCTATAGGCGATTCAATTGAAAAGTCAGTTTCAAAAGACCCTCATGGAAATCATCCGACTGGAAATTGATTGGACGCTTTTTATCATGTATGAAATTACGCAAAATAACTTTACATTCAATCAGATACGGATATGATTTCCCATTTGAAATTGAAGGACGACTTGATTTAATTGACTATGCCGGTTTTGATTATATCGGTACCTATGAATACGAAAAAATGGTGAAACACTTGGTACTTCGAGATGAATCAAATTTTCCAACAAATATGTTGCTTGAAAAAATTAATGAATTTGTCAAAGCTAAAAACATTTATTTGCCAAATGATCATATTGGTATATTTTTGGCTTCTCCTCAAAACCAGCATTTGTTTGAAAAAATTTCATTTGAAGGCATCATTGTTTCTTATAACAAAGCTAATATTAGGAATAACTTAGATAGTTATTTCAGAAAATTTCGAAAATCGCACCCCCATCCACATCC